GTGTGACTGTGTGTGTGTGTGTGTGTGTGTGTGTGTGTGTGTGTGTGTGTGTGGTGTGTGTGTGTGCGTGTGTGTGTGTGTGTCTGTGTGTGATGTGGTTGTGTGTGTTGTGTGTGGTGTGTGTGTGTGTGTGAGAGAGAGAGAGAGAGACATAGTGTTGTTCTTCCGGTTATCACAAATGCCGCCTTACGCTAGTTAACAGACAACAGCAAAGAAATTAAGACGAAGAAGAGAAAGAGAAAGAGAGAGAGAGAGCGAGAGAGAGAGAGAGATGAGCGTGAGAAAGAGAGAGAGAGATGAGAGAGAGAGGAGGAGAGGAGAGAGAGAGGAGGAAGATAGAGAGAGTGTGTGTGAGAGTCAAAAAGAAATTAAAGAGAGCCAGCGAGACATCGAAAAAGATAGTGTACAATATGAAGAAGAAGAAGAAGAAGAAGAAGAAGAAGAACAAGTTCGAAGAAGAAGAAGAAGAAGAAGAAGAAGAAGACGACGAACGACTGCCACACAACACCAAAACATAGAACACACTTCACTTACGGGAATAAACCAACCAAGGCTGCTGCTCGCTGCACACTAGCTACCAGACAACTAGCACCGAACAGCCGCACCACCGCTCTCTATACGCGGCTGTAGTACACCGTGGTCCCCGCGAGGGCGCACGCGTCGGGCGAGAATTTTTCGCCGGCTCGCTATCCGTACTAAAATAGCACGGCCGCCGACTCTCTCAATGCTCGGAGGTGGCCGCCGCCATATATGGCCGGCCGGGCGTCTGACACTTGAGCCGCGCTCGCGCTCGCGGCTGCAGAGATCCGAGGATGAGGAAGAGATGGATGAGGAGGGGAGGGAGGGGGTAAATCTATCGCAGGCCGCTAAATGATGTCCGACGGCGGGAGGCGAGAGGCTCTACGGTGCACGGAGCGAATGAATACTGAAGCCAACATGTGATGCTCATCATCATCGCTAGGTCCGAGACAGGCCATCGAGGCTGTACGACCCACTACACTGCTTAACGAAATTACGCTCGAAGCTAATTTATTAATGATTCTGATGCGGGTGCGAGCTCTTACAGCTCGTTGGGGGGAGACCGAGGGAGCGCGCCTGTGATTGATAAACTACGACAGTGTAGAACTGTTCCAGAACGATGACAAAATCTCCACGCGTGAGAAACCGGGGGAGCGGTGAATGATAAACTACAACGGTGTCGAACTGTTCCAGAACGATGACAAAATCTCCGACGTATAGAATTTCCACGCTTCTCATTTCGCTTCTCATCTTACGTACGTAACTCGGTATGCGTGCCGTAACGCAGATAATATCGGCAAGCAAATTGGTTTCGCTGCTCCACCAAAGCTAGCATCCTCCGCAAATGACGAAGCTGCGTGTTGATTAGTACGACAGCTGGCATATGGAATCGTCATTGAAGCATCGACAATTTACTTTCCCGATGGGGAAAAAGCCCTTGCCTAAAGTTTTACGACCTCTACGGCGGCTGTCGCCCGTTAATCAAAGTTATATTCCCGAGGGAAAAGTAGGGCGAGGGGGCTTATGATCATATGTCAATCTCGTAATTTTAAAGCGAGCGCGCGCGTGTGTAGCGACGGAGACTAAGAAAGGCAGCCGTAGTGTAGGTATGTATCAAAACCACTGTGATGGATGGGGAAACGCGGATAGCACTGTGTCATGGGTACACGTACATAAAGGGTTAATCCTACACCGAATTTCGGGTTGTCTTCGTACGGCGTTGGTAATCTCATGATCAGGCACACAACGTCGTCAGAAAGAAACAAAAAAGGGTCGAACCTTATAGAATAAGCATTGTTGGATCTCCTACACTATTCACATTCCGTGTTACAGAGTTCGGTACTATGACCTAGCAAAGTGCTACCTGATTAGAGCCAACCCGACTGCTACGAAGACCCGCCACCCTAAACAACCAATAATTTCACGCTTGGCTTCTCTCAAATAAATTCAAAACGACGTTTTCGTCTCCATAAGCATCTGTTTTTCTACATGACCGGCTGCGTTTTTACCAAAAAGGTGACACCCGAAAATTGACTTTCGCTAAATGGCGGATGATTCAGTGGCGCGAAGAAGTCGAACTTTTTCTCGACGCGAAGTTAATTAAGTCTGATCTCTCTCTGCCGCTGCTGCCGTGATGCTTCCGAACCGCAGCACGTGCCGCGGGCGGCAGTGGTTCGGGAGGTAAGGCGACTCGCCTTCTATCTAGGCCGACACCGGAGCTGCGTCGGGCGCGCGCGACATTTTTATGGCGCGATATTTTTATCGCAATCATCAAATGTTTAAGGCAAGTTAGTGGAGGAGAAGATGAGTTATAGATGCATGGGAGAAGAAATACATGGGAAGAATAAGGGCACTGGAACGAGAGAGAGAGGGGGACAGAAAGAGAGCGAGCGAGAGCCAGAAAGAGGATGGGAGATAGAGAAAGAACGAAAGACAGACACAGATAGAGAGAGAGAGAGAGAGTGAGAGAGAAAGAGAGAGAGATAGAGAAAGACAGAGAGAGAGAGAGAGAGAGAGAAAAAGAAGATGAAAGATAGAGAAAGAAACGAGAGAGCGAGCAAGCGAGCAAGCGAGCGAGAGAGAGAGAGACACGCGTTTAGAGCACGCTCGTAAAACAGACGGTTGGCAGCCGTGGATTAGATCGCTGCGTAATTAATGAGCGGCAACGAACGCCGATGAAACACGGAGATGCGCGGAGGAAGCAGACGGAAACCTTGGAAAAGCTCTAGGGAGCAAAGAGCGAGAAAAAATCCTAATCGAATTAGCAGAAATTCGCTGCCGAGCGTGAGGCGATAGTTAGATAGGAGGGAGTATCCGCCATGTTGGATCGCGCATCGTGTGTCAAAGGCACCGGGTTACAGGCTAAAAGTATCGTTGTTAGCTATAGTGATTAAGGCAGAGGGTGTGAGAGAGAGAGAGAGAGGCAGAAACAGAGAGAACGAAAGAGACAGAGAGAGAGAGAGAGAGAGAGAGAGAGAGAGAGAGAGAGAGCGAGAGAGGAAGAGACAGCGAGAGAGAGAGAGCAAGAGAAATAAGCGAAAGACGGTGGAGAGAAAAAAATATCGAACGTGAGATGGGCAAAAAGAGAGAGCAAAGGCGCCGGAGCGAGCGAGAAACGTCAAGAGCAAAAAATACTGAAATAGACGAAAGAGCGCGAGAACAGACGAAGAGAAAATGTTTTTCTAGAGAGAGAGAGAGAGAGAGAATGTACAGCAGAGAGGGAACAAGATTCAGAGAACGCGAGAGGGGGAGGGATACTAAAAGTGAAGCTCTCTCAACGCTGCTACAAGACACCCGCGAACATACAGCGAGGCGAAACAACAACAAAGTTATATATAGCAGGGCCCGCGCTTATATCTGCTTGTATATAAGGCCGCACGTTTACACGACCTAAATGTACGCGCAGATATCAATACGTACAGGGGAGTGTAGGGGGTGAGGACCCCCCTCTTTCTTTCCCCACGCCCACCAATGTGTGTGAACACGAGCCTAGAGGATTCTAAACCGAGCCACATGGCGTGTGCAAGCAACGGGAATAGCAGCGAGCCAGAGAGAGAGAGAGAGAGAGAGAGAGAGAGAGAGAGAGAGAGAGAAAAAGAAGATGTGTGTGTATGTGCATGCCTGTGTGTGCGTGCGCGCGTGCGTACGTGCGCGTGCGTGCGTGCGCGTGCGTGCGTGCGCGTGCGTGCGTGTCTGCGTGCGTGCGTATACCTGCGCAGCTCCTGGTACTCGCGCAGCCACTTCTCGTCCTCTTCCTTCTTCTTGCGGCGAGCAGCCTCCATGGCCTTCTCAGCTTCACTCATCTCTCTTGCGGGTTCGGGTTCCGGTTCCGGTTCCCTGTGCCTAAACGGATCAGCGAACGGGGAGCGATTTAGTAACACAGCGATTCAGTTCCCGCTCCTTCTGAAATTATGATCAGCAAAATACTGCAAATTATCAACGATAAATCTCTGATATATGTTGCGACGCGATAGTTTGGTAACTAGGGGTAATATGCATAACACATGTACTCACTTGAGAGATGGTTCCTCCTTCCTCGGCCTGCGAAAAGTAAACAGGTGCTTACTTATTTCTCCATTCTAGTTCATTTAATTCAAGCTATTATTCCATTATAATTGTTCAAGTACATTAGGTATCATCTAGATTATGATTCAATTGTAATTTTCGGTTACATTTCTGTTATCACTACAGCTATCTATTGCTATGTAAATGTCGTGCCGATCGATGGTTATCGATGACTCATAATAATTATGCGCCTCGAGCCGACCGGTGTTACGATCAATTTGTTAAGCGAAAGTTCGTAGCGGTTTTTTTACCGCATCAGTTTGTACTCCCAACTCTCGCGAGAGAACGCGTGAAAACGGGTAAGCAACGCATGCATTAATATAGACGGCTCGTGTTTCAGTCATCGAAATAGCATGGCCGGCAGGGGGCGGATAGGCCTCGGGTCGCGTCTCTATCGCAGAATTACCGGGGGAAGGTCGGAAACATAGAGTAGGAGAATATAGGGGAAGCCAACGTAAATGAATACATTCGCCGTGCTCTAACCGCAGTATGTAAGACCGATGAGAAAGGAGGGGACGAGACTACGGAAGAAAAAAGACACGATGAATTCGAACCCAGCAAGAGAATGACACCGAGGATGAGCTCTGCTTAGCGAGTATATATAGGATTGACAGTATATAGGGTTTATCACGTAATCGATGAAGTCAGGTTTTGCGCTAATACGTACTCGGGAGCTGGAGCTGGGGCCGGCTTGGGGCTGTAAGAAACAACATGATGACATTCGTAAGTCTACACTCGTTGCAAAGTATATATATATATATATATATATATATATATATATATATACTAACTAACTAAACTAAACTAAACTA